TTATTTAATGTTATTAAACCAAGCATATTATTGTATTTATTTATATTATTAATAAAGAGTCATTTTGTTAATACCTGAGGTGGCAAACATAATTTTCTATGGGCTCAGGTGTTACACTGGTTAGAAAATTGATCCGTTATAGCGAATATCGAGCTTTTACTAGTAAACTCCGGTATATCGAGCCTATTTTAATATACGTGATTTGGTTCCAGAAAAAAAGTCCGGTTTAGGCCCAAATCCGGTTTATCGAATATCCGGTTTATCGAATTTCACTGTGTAATTGAAATAAAATATATTTTTTTACTTAGTAAAAAATGAAAAAACATATCCAGTCAAAAAAAAAAATAGAATCGATAATTTATTTGTCTAAATTGAAAATTAATATAATTTTTTTTAATAGTAATTAGTATATAATTAATACCTATTTTAATGTTTTTACTGTTAATAATTATTATTAATGTTAACAGTTAATAAAAAGAAAATTTATAATACTTTCGTCATACCTATTTCATGTGAAAGTATATAATGTATTGATTCTCCCATAAATAAAATGCATAATATCATTATGTCGAAACCAATGATACTTCTCTTCAAGAAATGTTTGAAGTTGAGATGCCTGAATTACAAGAAGAAAAAGATTATGTAAAGTCCTGTAGCAGAAAAGGAAAAAGATCATGGGTATAAATTTTATAAAATTATTATTTTGTAATTTTTTTTTCTTTATTAAAATGTTTTTTATAATTCCTTTTTGATTTCTTGTTTTTTTTTATAAAACAAACTGAAATTTTTTTTATATTTTTCTTTATAATCTATATTAATGTGTATTTTTTCCCTTTATTTATTTATTTATTTTTTTGCTTAATTTTTTCTTGACCTTACTTTAGATATTTGTGAAGGATTAAGACCGAAAATTGTTGAAGGTACATCGCCAGTATATAAAATGTTGGGATTCCGATCCTAATAAAAGACCGCCAACAGATGGATTGGTTGAAATTCTTTGCTTGTTGGTTTGATTATTATCAAAGTGGAATATTGGAAGAATACCTTTCCTGGGTAAGTTAATCTTCAATGAATAATTTATTAATTCGTACTAATTATTTTTATTATTTCTATCTAATTTTATTAATTAAAATTTTTTAGATAATGAGTCTATTACTAAAAATCATACATTATCTTGTTATATAAGCCGAAAAAATTGATTATTCTGCAAAATTAAATGAAATTTAAAGAATTAAGTTCTAAATTAGTAATATAGTATGGATGTAACATTATGAAGTGAAAATTTAAGTATCAAAATTTTCATATAATTTTTCTTAAATCTTTAAAAATTTATTTAGATAAGTAATATGATTTAGATATTTCATCATCAAAGTTTATTAGTATATATAAATACTATATCATAAAGTAAGTTCAATTGTTTTAATTGAAAAATCTAAATCAATAATTATTACTAAATTCTTCAAAATGACCACTAATGTAGTATTTTTTAATTATTTCTTTCACTTTATATTTTTCAAATAAATCTACTAATTGATGATGTTCACTCAAGTTAACAAAAAAAGGAGTGTAGCTTATTGTTAACAGTACAGGATTCCTATTTTTCCAATTGTCAAAAAATAATTTAAAATCTTCCAATTCAAATCTCGTGGAATGAAACTTAAATTTAAATAAACCAATTGGTGCTGACCTAGCTAATATAATAAACAATTTATCCCAACTAAAGTTATTATATATTTCAATAAATAATTTATTTAATAATTTACAATGAATTGATAAATTTTCAAATTCTGAAATGAGTGAATTAGTATGATTCATTAATGATATCTTAAGATATCTAAGATTTGGACAATTTTGATATATTGCTTGAATAAGCATTTCATCATCAACATCCTCATAAGTTATATCAATTTCAGTAAGATATCCTTTTGTGCCTTCAATTAAATTTACTAAACTTTTAGCTGGAACTTGAATAGTCTTCAAAATTTTTAAATTAGATAATGATAAATCATTTAAATAATCTGACTCATTCCAGTATTCAGAATGAGTTATATTAAATTCTAAACTTAATAAGTTTGGAAGACATGAAAGAAGTCTTGTAATAGGTTTCCAATCAATTCTCAAATAATGGACAGTATCAGCGTGTCTAATCAAAGATTCTTCAAGAGACTTGTAAAATGATTCATTACCATTACCATAGTAATCAACAGTGAAAACAACATCAATTAGTTTTTCTTGTACTTCAATCAATTTAAGAATTCCAGAATTATCGACACAGTTAGAAACATCTTCAAATCTAAATTTTTCAATCGATTTGCATATCCTAGCTAAACCTTTTATAAAACTTTGATCAACATTTCGTTTGCAATAAAAGGATTCAAGTTTTGAAAAGCAATGTTCAGCCCCTGAAATATGGTGTAGATAATCATAATAACCATAATCATCTTGGATAGAAAGATTTATGAATTTTTTACTTCTATTTTTATCAATAAGTAACTTTAATATTTCGTTTCTTATAACAGACGCGCTGGAATATTCAATAATACTTCTTTGAGAAATTAAATTTTCTATAAAAGACATATCTAAATATTTCCAGTAATCAATGTAATTAAATAAAGGACGTTGATATGTTTCTGTAATACTATTATTAATTCCTAAAGTATCTCTTGATTCTTCCGATAAAAGTAAAATTATTATCTTAAATAATTTACTCATTGAACTAGAACTATGATAACTATAACCAGGATTTTCCCATAAAATAGGCACTACTGTTTCACACCAAGTTCTATTAACAAAAAGACATGAATAAAGTGAATTTTTATCATGCTTTAACTCTTTAAATATTAAAAAAAATACGTCTTCGTTGAGTTTTGACATTTTTTTTTAAAAAAATAAAAAATGAATTTACACGAAAGAATACAAAAAAAAAATCCCCGTATGTTCGGTCTGTTTTATATTCATTAATAGATTTGTGCAACAAATATTACGTAATTCTTAAACAATGATTGATAATTATGCAACATGATGATTTACACCAATAAAGATCGGTTGTTGTTGTTAATCGATACTAGATTTGGTTTGAGGTATGCCAAAAAAGAAAAACGTTTGAAAACTAACCTTATGATAATGTTAACGTTAACGTTGAATAATGCTTTACCGATTTTTTTTTATTAATAATATCATCTTTTTTTTTTCTTTTTTCAGTTCTTTTTTTTTTAAAAAAAAAACAATTTTTTTTTTTGTTTTTTATTTTAGAATATAGTAATATAATTTTCCTAGATATATTTATGGGGAAGAATTTCTTTGGAGAAATATGATACTCTAGATGTAATTAAAACTTTAGGTACTGTACTACTAATTACTAATACAAAATGGGTAGAATAAAATTTTTTATTTAATATATCAGACAAATTTCAAAAATGATTTTTTCTTGGAACTTCAAAAAATTCAAAAAGCCAGATATAATATTCAAATCACCCAAATTTTTCTTTGATTCTAGAAAAGCTTTTGATGTCTCTTATTAAAAACGATTATTTTCAAAGGAGCGAAATACAAATTTGGGAACGAGTGATTAAATTAAGATTCGTTCAAAATTCTAAAATTTCCTCAAATTTTATTATCGATAAAAAAGAACATTTAAAAATAAATTAGCTAAAGAAGTTCTGCACATATTTCTAAATTATAATTAGTAAACATCAATCAACTGTAATTATGATTCATAAAAAATAAAATAGCAAAGTATATTCACTTAAAAAGGAGATTCATGATCATAAATCACAACTTGTAAGCCATTCAACAAGAAAATACACAAAAATAAATTTAGCACGACAAAGATATTTAGTCGAACCTGAAATACCAAAGCAATTAGCCAATAAAAACACAGAGGTTCCTTAACGTACGCACCAGTGCTCAAAAAACATTACACAAAAAGGAAATGTTGATCAGATCCATTTTTGGTGTTACCCGTTTCATAGACACGCGCTTCAGCATTATTGGTATCCTTAACGTACAGTGGGTGTACTATTTTAAAGCATGTGATAGCGTTAACGTTAATTCCGGCCAGTTTGTACGTTAATATCGTACCCTCACTGTACATCAAGGTGATCAGTGACAGGTAAACATCACATTAAGATCGAAAAAACCTGGCACACAAACACATTTTTTATTATTAGGTAATACAATTCAAGAAACTCTGATCATGTGTAATTGTGGCTTAGAATTATCTTTACTGTTATTTATAAACTTTTCGCGTTTTTAAAGTAATTACGCGTCAAGTAATAACAACTACACGTTAAGCTCTTCACTATGACCTCATATTCGATAAACTATCCCCCTAAAAATTTTCTTCAAACTCTTCAAACAATTTTTTCTTTTAAAATAATCATCAAACTCTCGAATAATTTTTTCTTTTTATATATTATTTTTTTTCTGGATAAGTTTATATATTTACATCAAAGAAATTACTCTAAAAATTTTTCTAAGTATTAAAGGCAAGTAGAGATCTTTACTTAATATGTGAAACACTATTTGGAAGTTTTTCTGTTTGTCTATAAGGTCTACTATTCTGAAGGAGGGATGGTTACAAATAAGGCTGAAAGGTTAGCACGTACCTTGGATCTAGCTGAAGTGACACAATTTTTTAATTTGTCCCCACAGGTTAACTTAAAAGAGTTTATATATACAGTAATATTTTGTAAAATCCTAACAAATTTAATTTATATTATTCACAGGTACAAGAGCAAGATCAACGAGCCCAAAATCAAGAATATCAATGGGCCCAAAGACAACAAGATCAACGGATTCAACCACAATGTCAATTTATCCAAACATTGATTCATGATTATTCTACACAGTAATTTTGATAAACTACAATATTGATAATTACTAACGTGATAAACACTAATAATTTAATAAGTTATTGATAATTATCCCAGTTATTCCACCTAGATTAATATTAATTAGAAGTTTGCTATTTGAACAAAAACAACGTTGTGATCTAAAAATTCGAGTATCAGATACACAAGTGTTTGAAGTGCATTCCACGATTTTATATGTACGCTCTTCCTTTTTTCAGGAAGTTCTGTCAACTAATAAAGTTGAATATGAAATTTCTATACCAGATGTTTCACCACAATGTTTTAAAACCTTATTAAAGTGAGTATTTTTTGACTTTAAGTTCAAAAAAAAAAATGTTAAACTTAGTAATATTTAATTAATATTTGGCTTATTCATTATTTCACACTAGCTATATGTATTCTGGAATATTTGCTTAGAAGATTATGAAAACCTGAAATATTTGAACTCTATTTTGTAGCCATAAAATTCAATTTAAAAGAAATTGTCAATTATCTAAAAGAAATAGTCGAATTTACATTCTGATATCAATTATTGAATTCTATTATGATATGTAATTTACTAATTACGAAAATGTGTAAATGAAATAAATTAATGCAAATTTAAACTGAATACAGGGTTTGTTTATTTATTTATTACAAAGTGAAATTCGTACAATAAATAGTATGGTGGCTGTCACCTATAAACAACAATAGTCCGAAATTTTGAAATTTATTTATTTATATTGTGTAACTTATATTTTAAAGTACTTTGTCAAAATATTAATTGCCGTGTGAGCGGCAAAATTTTTTTTTTGCCATATTACATGGAATTCTTGTGGATTTCCATGGAATTTTTGTAAAATCCATAAAAATTACATGAAAATTAGTCCAAAATTTTATATTTTTATTATTGCTACTTATTAAAATTATCCAACTTTAACCCATAATATTAATTAAAATTCTTATTAAATTCTATAAAATAATCCGATAGAAATGTTCAGTACATGTTGCTATATCATTTTATCAGTTTAGTTTTTTCTTTTTACTATTCAATTTACAATTTATAAAAATTTGAAGTCACTTAATATTAGTGTGGTTTATAGGTGACAGCCACCATACAAGCTGTAAGATCATTTATAAAACAGAATCTATAACTAAGTAAGTCACCGATTCTGGTAGATGCACTTTTATATTGTGAATTTCTTGGCAGGCATTGTTCTACTTTATAGTATCTGCATCTTAATAAGTGTATAAAATGAAAAATTAGGCAAGTTAACATAGTGATTTTTTTTTCTAAACATATAATTATATGATTCAGCTTTTTTCTGGTCAAGCGTGTCGGTCATATGACCTGTCAGTCTCTCGTCATTCGGGCCCTCTGAAATTTGTATTACAGAGCTTTTTTTGGGGGCATTAAAAATTAATTATGGCGAGTATCTCCTATACTGTGATCAGCAGTTTAAAAGAACCTCACTAGAGTACTTCGATACAAAGAATGTGCAAAAACTTATAGTCTGGTCAGATAAAAATTTAACATAATATTCAAGATAATTTTTTTTTTTTTTGTAAAAGAAAAAATAAATAATAGTAATTAATATAAATTCATGGATTAATAATTATATAATTTAAAAATGGTAATTACATAGTTAGAAATATATATATATCACTGCATTCCAGTTTTAAATAGATAAATTTTTAAAAAACACTCGGAAAAAGAAAGAAAAGAAACTAATTTGCAATATAATAACAACTGTAATCATTAGTAAAATTTATTCTTTATAATTCAATTGAAAAAGAAATTTTCCTAGTTAATGCAAATACATTTACATTTTTTTATTTAGAAACCTGCATAATTTTCTAATATAAATCACAAATTAATAATTTAGAAGAAGCATATTAGTTCATTTTAGAGTCATGAAATTAGAAAGAGAAAATGTTTATACAGTATCATATCCATATAAGATTTTTTACAAATTTTAATTAAAAAAGAAAATAAAATAAAGGTCATTCACAATATGACAATATTAGAAATATTATAAATATTTGCACGCTATGGCCAAGAATTTCTTCTGGTTCGCTTTAATATCTATAAAAGTACTAATAGGAATAAGCATGTAAAAGTGTAAGTAGTAGTAAAGTAAAATCATAAGAACAACATTCACAGTTCGACAACCAGTTGATATATATAGGGTTGTCCTTCGTACTCCAAGTCTGATTATCAGACCGGAAGCTATCACAAAAAGTGGCCATGATGGAGTGCTTCCAGTTCTTTAACTTTACTATTACAATTATCTAACTAATAAAATTTAACAAATACTAACTACTAAATTATAAAAAATGATTCATAAAAATACTTAAAGTTTACTTATTTATAAATTTTAAAAAAAGACATACTCTCATATTGAAAAAAAAGTTTTAGAATAAAAAATTTATAATATGAGAAAGAAGTATTAAAATAAACGTGAGAAAAAAAAAATAAATAAAGAAATTAGTGGAAAATAATTTTTCTTTTATATCTTTACTTTGCTTTTTTATAAATATCAAAAAAGTATATCTCTTATATTTAATATCATAAACATGACTTATCGCACGTCCCTATAGGATCATGCTGGTTTAGTTTATTTGAGCATGATCTGCATTAACCGTACGATAATATAGATATTGTACGGTGATATTTAAATTGGTTAACGTCACGAAGTGACGTTAACGGTTAACCAATATAAATACAACACCGTACAATATCCTTTACAGAGTAGATCATATGAAGCAAGAGTCAGCCAAACGGGTTTAATTTAAATATCAGCCTCAAATTAACTAGAAATGGTATCAATCATCAATTTAATTATGAGCATAAAAGATTATCTATTAATAATCAGTTACAATACAATACATTCCAATTATTATTGTCAATCTTCATATAAGTTAAAAAATACGCATATATATCATCCTGATCTTCGTCTAGAAAATCCCAAGTTACAATATAAAATTGCGCTTACTACTTACACTTATTTAAAAAATAATTATGAAACTCAACAGAGATTTACTTTTAATGATCTCAGAAAATTTTCAAAATGACAGAATATCACTTTATTCTTGTCTTTTAGTCAACAGATCTTGGTGTGAAGCAATAGTACCGTTATTATGGAAAATTCCTGGACAAGCTATTTTAACTAAAAAGGCAGAAAATATAATATTTAATGTAATACTTTCGCATTTTTCAGAAGAATCTAGAGATAATTTGATGAAACAAGGAATCGATCTTTTTACTGAAATTTATCAGACACCTTCATTTAATTATATTTATTTTTGGAGACATTTAGATCTACAACTTCTAGACAGAATGATTTCCAGAAATTTTGATAAGTCAGACATATCTATGATGAGAAATGAATTATTTAAGTTATTTGTTAATAATAATACAAATTTTATTTCACTTATTTTTCCAAATGATTATAAATGTCAAGTAAACTGGAATAAACAATGCTTTTCAAATCTTAAATTCTTTTATTTTTGTAATGATATTGATCAAAGTATTCTAAAAGAATTAGCTACAGTAAGCAAATCGATTAAAATATTCAATTGTGATGTTATTGGTTGTAATATTTCTGGAACCATTAGATTAATTGAAGTTCAAAAAAATCTAGATAGTGTCCGTATTAGTGGATGTCGTATTTATGAAACCTGGCAATCTATTGAAGAAGTACTAATTAAAAAAGCGATCACTATCCAAAATTTATATTTATGTTATGATTGGAATTTTGATGTTGATTTAAAATTTCTTTCACATTTTGTAAATTTAAAAAGTTTAGAAATAATTGAATCTTTTGGGCCTCCAAATCCAAACAATACTATTCTAAATTTAAATCAATCAGAGAAAATGTCTTTACCTGCTTTAAAAATCCTAAAAACTAATCAAGTGTCATTTATGATGTTGACAAGATTAATTGAAAGTGCAAATGTACAACTTACTGTAATTGATATTCATTTTAATGATATTTATTGTGAGTTTGAAGATGTTAGAAGATTTTTCCAAGCAATGTGTCAAAATTGTCCAAATATTAAATATTTAAGCTTTCCAATTAAAGATTATGTTCTTATTGAATTTGAAAGTTTATTGATTAATTGTCAACATTTAATTGGGTTAGTTATTAGGAGTGAAGGAGGTCTCCAATATAAGAATTTATTTAAAATATTAAATAAATCATCACCAAGTAGTTTGATTAAGTTTGGATTTACTCTTAACCGAAAGTTTGGGGCTAGATATAAATTATTAAGGTCATTTCTTGCTAATTGGAAAGGTAGACATACTATGTTATTACAAATTTGGCCAGTAAATTATTGTCTAGAAGATGAACAGGAAGTTAAACGATTATATGAACTAATTGAATATTATGAAGCAAGAGGAATAGTCAAAAAAATTGATTGGGAAATTGATTGGTGTAGTAATGATTCAGAGGAATCTATTTGGATTAAGAAAAGATGTTTTCATTAAATGCAAATATGTATATTCTATAGTGCGTGCTATACTATCCAATGCAATTTATTATATATTAAAATAAAAATAATTAATTAACTCACATAATTTATTACTAGCATTAGGTCGTTTTAAAGGGTCTGCATCCCAACATTTATTAATAATGTCAAAAATTAATTGAGGAATTTTATAATTAGACTTTGACCTCAACCCTTACAAATTTAGATATATTATAATAAGGAAGCAATCCCGTACTGTACAAGTTTCATATGCAATTATCCCAAATCCATAAATATCACTTGCTTGAGTATATTCTTTTCCTCTTAAAACTTCTGGAGCTACATAAGGTAATACTCCATATAATTTTTTATTATTATTTTGAGAGGATTTGTCATTTGCCGGTTGACATAATCCCAAGTCGGTAATATAAGCCTGATGGATATTATTGCTTAATACAGTATATTCCCACAATGAAAATCTTGATGAATTAATCTTTTATTATGAATATCATTAGGATCATATGCAATACTATGTAAAGTAAACAAGTTTTTCTTCCAATTCATTGAAATGAAGTTGTCATTTAAATGTTGTCTTAAACTATCTTTTTTTTAAGTCCATCACCATTATAAATCATTTGTTTTGGATCTTTGGTAAATCCAAAACAACGAATTGTATAACCAGAATGATATACTAAACTATTTGATTTCAACCTTAGATTGTAGTTAGTTAACATTTATAATGGTCAATAATACTAAATATGTAAGAAATATCTTACTTCTTTTAAAAATTCTGTTGTAATGCCTTGTGAGTCATGTAAACATTTTTTTTTTTAAGGCAACTTTCGTTTCACCTTTCTTTTCAATCGAATTATTTTATAATCTATTAGTACCCAAGGATCATCTCTCCAAACTGCTTCAAAAATCCTTTTTGCTAAATATTCAACATCTTCAAATTTATTATATTCAATCTACTCTATGATTTTATACTCATTACTAACGTCATGATTTCCATTAGTCCAATTTTTGAAAAAGTCAATAATTGCAATAAAAATAATTTAAAAATTTCTTCTCAGATGGTTACATTTTTTGTATAAACCATTTTCTTTATACCGTTCTTTTAATTCTTTGTCTGTTATTAGATTATCAATTAACGATTCTTGTTCTTTAGTCAAAAAGTGATGATCAAACTCTTTTATTTGATCAAATACATCATCACTTAGTTTATCTTTATCAACTAACGATTTTTGTTCTTTAGTCAAATGATAACGACTAAAATCTTTGATTTGCTAAAATACATGTTTAATTTTTTCCATTTCAAATTTATCAAAAAAAAAAATAATAAATTTGTTATTTAATTCGTATGTAAAAAACTACAAAAAGATAATAAAGAAAAAGAAAACGACTTAAACGTTATTTTATGTTGCAATGATTCCACAAAATTATCAAAAAGACTAGTAAAAATACACAGTGGAAACACAATAATCTTGACCAGATTTTATTCAAATTCTCCAAACTTTACGAATGTTGATTATTACTAACCAAAAGAGAATTTGGAAATTTGGGAAAGAATTTGTTAATTTTACGGATTGATATCGTATTAGCTTAATATCTGAAAATAATTTATAAAGAATTGTGAATACAAAAATTTATAATATATTAAAACAAATTATTCCGATGATTTATTAGTCAAAGGACTATATCTTGGCAAAGATAACGCAAAAATGTCCGTCTTTACGCCTAACATGTGACGAAGTACAACAATAAACCCTTAAACAGCCCAGTATGTTAAACAAATATTTACAAAATCTGCCATGATAGAATAACACATGACAATAACGATTATGTGCTTGTGCTTGTGATTAATTCGTAAAAAAAACAAATTTTTTTAATTCGGTTTTACATAGTAACATTTATCCCCATATAATTAATTTTTTTGATCATCAATTAAAAGTTCAATCTTCTTTACTGGTCGCACAAGCAAACAATCCACATACTTCTAATACTTTAAAATTTCTTTTTTTATTATGTCAACAAAAATTTTTTTTACCTGATTCTCTTATTAATTTTTTTGATTTATTTGATAAACCGTTAAATTGTTTTTCTAGAATAGAATCTTTACTTACTTTATTTAAATTTTATAATCTTTCTTTATCAACTAATTTTAAATTTGTTACAAAAGGAGGTTCTTAACCAATAGCACATTTAGTCATAGACAAAAAATTTCTTTTTGCCCATTTGAACAGCCTTAAAAACAAAGGAATCATGTTCTTAGACCACATCATAATGAAAGATAATGCGTTCCTGGAAGACTATAATACTATAAAGAAAAATCTCCAGTACAAAGGAGGCAAGATACCCCGTTGGTATACTTTTCTAAAAGAAAATATTACCATCAACAATCAAGGAAGACTACTCTTCGACCTAGATAAACCGATCATTCAAAATCCTATGGCACCACGTCCTCCCACCCCTCCGGTCGATGGTAACACCTTACATCACCCGAAAAGATCTCAACAATGGGTAACATCTTGGATACCGCATCTTTCAGATATTGTTTATGGAAAACTTCTTAGTACCAACAACTTTCCTAATTGTTGTCCAGTATCATATATGGAACACTGGGTTCATAAAGATATATCGGCGTCTTCACTCCACACTTCACCTCGTTCAACTCCCAATATTTTGATTCGTTGTCAAGGTTGTGCTCAACATTTCTCTTATTATGTCGGAGACATGAGACCAAAATGCATTATTCAAGTAAAGCATAAAGATTTGATTCTTCTTGAAGCATTACCCAAAAAGAAAAAAGAAGACCTCTTTCCTCGTCCTAATGTTCCGATTAAAGATTTTCAATTACTTAAATATAGTCATCCTAATTACCGCCTTATGGCCTTTAATGATCATTTAATTCAGAGAGGTTATAACTCTACTGTGAATTTTTGACCCATTAATCCTCCTATTCAAGATAATTCTAATGTTCCGAATACTTTACGCAACATGGATCTAATTACGAAACTATTTGATGATCTTAAAATATCAGAAGACTTACAAGATATAGCTACTACGCTCGCGCCCTTCGTTGATTTAGAATTTTTTACTGATGGTTCTTATGATTCCACTAATTCCCAAGCAGGTTTCCCTATGGGCTATGGTTGGACCACTTCCAATTTATTCAACGGTAACATCACCTATAATGGATCTTTACAATTCTTTCCTTCGTCAACCAAGGCGGAAACTATGGCTATTTTAACGGCGTTGGTCGTATGCCCAGAGTTTGGTAAAATTATCATTCATACTGATTCACAAGCAGCAATTGATTCGTTTCACAAATCAAAAAATTTACACACTATATCGCCGAGACGCTTCAACAAAATTAACAACAACATACTTTGGTCATCAATCCATTTCATCATAAAATCTTTATCATTGAAAGTGAAACTTTTGAAGGTCAAAGCCCATTCGGGTCACCAGTTTAATGACATTGCGGATATTCAAGCCAAATTAGGCCGCACCCAACCTATACCTACGACGATCATACACGATCATTTACCCAACCAAACTATCACTTTAAACTGGAACAACAAAATACCCCTGGATAAGGATGTTCGTAAATGTGTCGGTACTATACTAAATTATCGGCGTTTAGATAATCACCTCAATCACGCTTCTTTGGAATCAATTAAGAACGACACCAAAAATCTTCTGATTAATTGGGCATTATCCAGCAAATGGTTTAATTATAATGGCCGTAATGATACTACATCACCATTACACACTAAAGATTTAAAATGGAAAATCAGATGTTCAACGCTCACGTTACCAACCTTGGATATATTGAATAGGAATTTCCCTCTACTCATTAAAGATCGTACACAATGCCTATCATGTCAAAACCACGTTGAAACAAATATTCATTTATGGGAATGTTCAGATAATTATGAACTTATCAAATCCTCTTTTATCCAAATGGGAGACATTTTAATTAACCTGTTGAAATCTCATGCTGACAGACTATCTCTAGTAATTTCTGATTCAATCAAATACTCTCCTACTTTCAGATGGGCGTATCGTTCTGAACCCATTCATCCTACGGCTTTTTTACTTCTTAAATCATATATTTCCAATGATTTATTAGGGATTTTTCGAGCACATATTAATACTATGAAACACATTGTTAAATTAATTATGCCTTATATGCACCAATGTAGTATCCTCATCAAAATTCATATTTGGAAAGCTCGCAACCAGAAATGGAAAGCTTTAAGAGACGTCTGGGGAATCACAAAAAAGTCTTTTACAAAATATCGGGATATATTCTCGCGCAATCAAAGAATCGCAGCTGCCTTTAATAGGCCGGTAGTTATCGACAATAATAGAGACATGGAACGTGGATATATTAATCCTTTTAATGACTTTCGTAATTTTAAATTGGATAAAGATTTTTATTTATTTTATTTTCGTCATCGAATTTTTTACATAGTGGTTCTTTCTTTTCACATTTAGATGAAGTTTTTTCTTTCAATAATGTAATTACTAATAATAGTCCTTTTAATTTTGCTATTTATAATGTGTAGATTGCCACAACTTCTTAATATTTAGTCAATGTCCTTTTTCATTTTTTTTCTTTCGGTTCATTGGTTCCTTTCTGGTAGGGGAGGGGATCATTCCGGTTCGTTGGATTTAAAGAAGTTCAGGTCCGTCTTCGGGGGGATGATAGCTAGAAGTAGGATAGCACGGTTATGTTTATGTCCTGTTAATAGTCTGTCCGTCTTCACATAAAATAAATAAATAAATAAAAAAAAACAAATTTTCATTGGATTAATTTTTCTATTAAAATTATGATCTTTATACTTTAAAATTAAACTTTTTATGTCTCAATTTTAACATATATTCTTTATAAAAAACATGAATAAAAATAAAGTTTTATATAATTGTTACAACAAATTATTATTTTATACATAGAGATTTTTTTTATTCCATTCAAATTTTATAAAAGTTTCTTCTGGAGTATAATCCCCTTTATTTTATAATTTTCGAATAAATCTAATAAATTTACCGATTGTTGCCTCTTTTTCGACGAGTCAACATAGGGACCATTGAGACCTATTTCTAACAATATAGGTTTCCAATTGTCAAAAATAATTTAAAATCTTTTGAGTCAAACATCATGGAATAAACTTAAATTTAATTGGTGCTGACTTAGCTAATATAATAACAATTCATCCCAAATAAATAAATCTACAAATTCAACATTTCAAAAATAAATTCATTTAATAATTTACAATTAATTAATAAATTTTCAATTTCCGAAATGAATAAATCAATACAATTAATTGATAATTTAAGATATCTAAGATTTGAACAGTTTTAATAAATTACACTATCAATACTAATCTCGGAAAGATTTCCTTCTGTGCTCTCAATTAATTTTGCTAAAATTTTAGATGGAAATCCTTTAAAATTTTTAAAGTAGGGAATGATAAATTTTCATCATCCCAATTTATAATGGAACTATCAATTTCTAAACCTAATAAATTTACAAGGTAATGAAAAAATATTTGTAATGGGTTTCCAATCTTAAATACTTTATAGTATTTATATGTTTAAACAAAGTTTCTTCAAGAGATTTGTGAAATGATTCATTGTAGTTTCTTTCACATGAACGATAAGTGAATCCAACATCATTTAGATTTTTTTGTACTTCAATGACCCCAGAATTATCGGTACAACTGTATAAATTAATCTTAATTTTTTAATCGATTTACATATTCTAGCCAATCCATTTATAACATTTTTACCGGGTTTATAATAATGACAATCAAATGATAAGGATTCAAGTTCTGATAAGCAACATTCAGCCCCTGGAATAAGATGTAGCTTATATAATCAAAACCATGTGTAATTGAAAGTTGAATAAAATTTGTATTTTTATTAATAAATATTTTTAATATCTCATTTCCTATAATATGTAAATTTGATTCTCCGATAAATTCTGAAACATCTGCTCTTTCTAAAAGAATTAAATTTAATTATTTGTAAAAACTTAAATTCAATTCTTTCCAAAAATTAATATAATTAAATAAAGGTCGTTGATTTGTTTCTATAATAAGGTTATTAATTCCTCGATTTTTTAAAATATTTCTTGATTCTTCTGATAAATGTGAAAATATTACATCAAATAAATTGCTTTCTGCTTTCTTAGATAATGTATTTTGCATGGGATTTTTCCATAACATCGGTATCGCTACTTCACACCAAGTTCTATTAACTAAAATGCATGAATAAAGAGACTTTTTATCATTTTTTAATTCTTCAAATATAAAAAAAAGTACGTCTTTGTTAAGATACAACATATTTTTTTTTTTTTAAAAAAAAAAAAGGGAATAAATTTCATTATTTATACTCAATATGGACGCTCTTTGTGTAACAAATATTACGTAAAAATTTATAAAAATGAAAAAGCCCTTTGAACATGTGCATGGAGATCTGTGAGACAGTGACACCTTTACTATTATATGCCCGCCTAATGAAAATAATTCACACATTACCTTTTGAAAACTCAACACTGACCGGATCGGGCTTAAAATAAAAATCTAGAAATTATGAAATTTTTTAAAATGATCAGATGATCAGCGTGACACTATTTGTGTTAATTCTTGAAACTTCTTTATTAAAACCTATTACTAACAATGCCTTCGCTTCGTATCAATAAATGTATCAACCCTCTTTAAAAAAAAATATGCTGTAAAATACCTTTTTGTGTACTTTACATGTACAGCTTCATTAAGTTTAATTAACAATTAAATTAAACTTGAACCAAAATATACAAAAACAAAAAAATAAGTCTAGTCTCACATATAATATAATAGAGATAACTAGACCACGCTAAACTATGTTGTGGATTAATTATCTGCAACAATTCAGCCACTCCGTGTTGTTTTTTATAAACATACCAACGTGATTCTGACTGATTCTCGACAAACTCACGTGACCTTATTTATTGACATACGACGATTACGACGTATATTGCCCATACGCTTACCTGACATAAACCCGAAGCAGCCACCGACTTTATACTATAAATGCAGATGTACGCTTTGTAAGTGGGATTTTCTTTGGGAGTTTCTTTCTTTAACAAAGTCTGACCATTTTTCTTTTTTTGGAAAGGTATTTTGAATATGAATTAAAAAATATCGCGGGCATACTTATTTTACTATCTTACCTCTTGACAAATTAATTTATTTTATAGAAATGATATCTTAGAACGGTATATTTCATGGGTGAATTTAAACCAGAAATAAAAACTTTATTTTTTGCTTTATTCTATTCATTTTAATAAATTCAAAAAAAAAAAAACATAAAGATTAATAGAAAAGTAATAAAAGCAATAAAAAAGTTATGGAGGAAATAAAGTGTTAAGTTTAATAGTATATATATTTTACCGGTTTTCATTTTAAACGTTGAATTAATTTTGTACAGTTATAAATATAGTTTGATACTGTTTACAATATGTATGTGTTTCTTTTTTTTTTATTGACCATCTTCTTTATATTCCTTCGTTTCACAGTAAGTGTCAGTTTTTTTTATTTTTAACATTATTTCTTTTTCCCCTTAGTTCAGATTAGGTTTAGCATGATTCTGTGGTACTATGGTAAGCACTGATTTTCTTAAATAAATAATTATTATAAATTCGAAAATTATACCCACAAGTAAACAAACAGTATTGAAAGCAACAATTTTTTATAATTTTCTGAACATCTATCAATCAATTTTTTTTTCTTTTCCTCCTTTATGCTTTTCAGTATGTTAAGCTATATTCTTTTAAGTTTTTAGCGTAAGAAGATTTCGTTATTTTTTTTTATATAAAATGTGACCGGTTCCCAAAAATTTGTTATACTTAATTTATGTAAATGAAAATTTCTTAATTTATTCATTGTTCATACTCGTATTACGTGACTTTATAGAAAAAAATTATATAAAAAAAAATTTTAATAAAAAATAATTTAAAAGGAACATAGTATGGTGTGAGTATTTTTTCTGTTCTGCAATTTTACTTAAAGCGTCGAAATTTGTTTTTAGTGTCAATTTTGACTTGTTTAACAGATTTGGTTTTCTTCTGTTTTCCCGTTAAATTTAATTCAGCCCAACATTAAATGATCAGCATAGAAAATTTTCTTTTTTGGAAACCCATGTTTTAAAAACAAATAGAAATCGTCATTATAAATTTATTTTTAATGATTATTAATTTAAATGATGTCAAATTTTTTTATATATTATAGAATAAAAAATTAATTTAATCTTGATCACTAATTGTTGAGAAAATAACGCAAAATAATATTAGAATTTATATATTCGTTGTTAACGAATTATATATATAAGACTGTAACAAAAAAAATTATAAACTAACAGTAATTTTTTTTATAAATACGTTAAATAATAATTTAATGTATTTTATATATTCATTTTTGTAAGAAAATGCAATTACTTCCTTTTATTTAAATCACATGAACGGCAAATTTTATCATTACATAATGTATTTATTTTTAAAGGAATTTCTAAACGCAGATCTGCATCGGAAAAATTATGGCCCGAAAATATTTTTTTATTGTGTATCGGAAAAATTATGATCCGAAAATATTTTCTTTTATTGTAGATCGGTGCATCGGAAAAATTATGGCCCGAAAATATTTTTTTTATTGTAACTTTCTACTTTTGGTTATCAGTATTCCTTTTAAGTAACTCATTCATGAAAGTTTTCTTATAAAAAAACATTTGTCTAGAAAAATAATAATTTTTTTAGTAAAACAAATTTCTAAATGGAAACCAAACTCAGTAAATCTAATACCTCAGTTACTAATATAGTAAACCCCAAAAATTGTTTATATTGTAGTAATAAACCCTTTACTGAAGAATTATGGTGTAAAGAATGTATTAACTCTTTAGAAAAATCAGCAGAAAATGGTAATAGAGTAGTAATGTTTAATTTAGCCAAAAGGTATTACAATGGGGAAGGAACAGAAAAGAATTTAGAAAAAGCCTTTTATTGGTATCAAAAAGCAGCAGAAAATAATTTCACTGATTCAATGAATAATTTAGCCAATTGCTATTACAATGGAGAAGGAACGGAAAAGAATTTAGAAAAAGCATTTTATTGGTATCAAAAAGCAGCGGAAAATGGTTTCACTGATTCAATGCATAATTTAGCCAATTGCTATTACAATGGAGAAGGAACAAAAAAGAATTTAGGAGAAGCCTTTTATTGGTATCAAAAAGCAGCAGAAAATAGTTTCACTGATTCAATGCATAATTTAGCCAATTGCTATTACAATGGAGAAGGAACAAAAAAGAATTTAGAAAAAGCCTTTTATTGGTATCAAAAAGCAGCAGAAAATAGTTTCACTGATTCAATGCATAATTTAGCCAATTGCTATTACAATGGAGAAGGAACAAAAAAGAATTTAGGAAAAGCCTTTTATTGGTATCAAAAAGCAGCAGAAAATAGTTTCACTGATTCAATGCATAATTTAGCCAATTGCTATTACAATGGAGAAGGAACAAAAAAGAATTTAGAAAAAGCCTTTTATTGGTATCAAAAAGCAGCAGAAAATAGTTTCACTGATTCAATGCATAATTTAGCCAATTGCTATTACAATGGAGAAGGAACAAAAAAGAATTTAGGAAAAGCCTTTTATTGGTATCAAAAAGCAGCAGAAAATGGTTTCACTGATTCAATGCATAATTTAGCCAATTGCTATTACAATGGAGAAGGAACAAAAAAGAATTTAGGAAAAGCCTTTAATTGGTATCAAAAAGCAGCAGAAAATGGTTTTACTGATTCAATACATAATTTAGCAAAAAGGTATTACAATGGAGAAGGGACAGAAAAGAATTTAGAAAAAGCCTTTTATTGGTATCAAAAAGCAGCAGAAAATGGTTTCACTGATTCAATGCATAATTTAGCCATATTTTATAAAAATGGAGTAGGAACGGAAAAGAATTTAGAAAAAGCCTTTTATTGGTATCAAAAAGCAGCAGAAAATGGTTTCACTAATTCAATGCATAATTTAGCCTTATGTTATGACAATGGAGAAGGAACAGAAAAGAATTTAGAAAAAGCCTTTTATTGGTATCAAAAAGCAGCAGAAAATGGTTTCACTAATTCAATGCATAATTTAGCCTTATGTTATGACAATGGAGAAGGAACAGAAAAGAATTTAGAAAAAGCCTTTTATTGGTATCAAAAAGCAGCAGAAAATGGTTTCACTAATTCAATGCATAATTTAGCCTTACGTTATTACAATGGAGAAGGAACAGAAAAGAATTTAGAAAAAGCCTTTTATTGGTATCAAAAAGCAGCAGAAAATGGTTTCACTAATTCAATGCATAATTTAGCCTTATGTTATTACAATGGAGAAGGAACAGAAAAGAATTTAGAAAAAGCCTTTTATTGGTATCAAAAAGCAGCAGAAAATGGTTTCACTGATTCAATGCATAATTTAGCCATATTTTATAAAAATGGAGTAGGAACGGAAAAGAATTTAGAAAAAGCCTTTTATTGGCGTCAAAAAAAAACAGAAAGTAACAAAATAGGTTTTAAAAATGAATTATGTAATATATGCAATCAGCTATATACTAATTACCAGTGGTGTCAACAATGTAATGCCAAACAATTTCAACATGATTTTTCAAAGTGGACCAGTAAAAATGAATTTATTGATAAATTTATTCAAGATTCACAACTAAATGCCAAAAATAGTTATGAAATTTTAGAATGGATACCTTATAATAAATTGTCAAATATTAATTATAATGATAAAGGAGGATTTAGTGAAATTCATAAAGCTATCTGGTTAGATGGACCTATTTTTAGTTGGAATTTTGACAAACAACAATGGAATAGGCAATTAAGCTATGAGGTTATTCTTAAAACACTTAATAATTCATCAAATTTAAATAGTAAATTTCTGGATGAGGTATATATATTATTTATATTTTTTAGCAAATTTTTTTTTCTTTTACAAAAATTAATTTTGTTTTATTATTTATACAGTGGAAATATCATTATAATTGTCAGAAAAAATCATTTTCAAAATTTATTCAATTCTTTGGATTTACCCAAGATCCAAATACTTTAAATTATATAATAGTAATGAGTTATGCAAAAAAAGGAAGTTTGAAAAATTGTTTATCTGATATAATTAAATTTAAATGGCAAGAAAAGTTACAATTATTGAAAAACATTGTATTAGGGCTCAAAGTAATTCATGAATCAAATTTAGCTCATGGTGATTTTCATGATGGCAATATTTTAATATCAGATAATTATAATGAGTTATTTATTATTGACTTAGGATTATGTAAACCTATAAATGATTTACAAGATTCTGACAATAAAATTAATGAAATTTATGGAATTGTACCTTATATGGCACCTGAAACATTAAGACAAAAACCCTATACACCAGCAAGTGATATTTATAGTTTTTCAATGATAATGTGGGAATTTACATCAGGTATTCCTCCATTTAATCATGTAGCACATGATCATCTCCTTATTTTGAGTGTTTGTAAAGGGGAACGCCCTGAAATTATTGAAAATACTCCAAAATGTTATATAGATTTAATGAAAAGATGTTGGGATTCAGATCCTTCCAATAGACCAACCATAACAATGCTTGAAGATATTATATCAGAGTGGGTTAGATGTATTAATGAACATTATAAAATAAACAGAGATGGAAATTATAAAGTTGAAGTATCTAATATTGATAATAAATTAAGGGATGATATGTTTGAATTTGTAGAATCAAACAAAACTTTAGTTCAAGAGCAAGCAAATGCTTCTATTATACAATCTCATGCACAAGCATACCATACAAGTCGTAAACTTACTGAAATCTTAGTTGAAGAAATGTCTGATTGTGTTGAAGAAATGTCTGATTGTGTTGAAGAAATGTCTGATTGTATTGAAGAAATGTCTGATTGTGTTGAAGAAATGTCTGATTGTGGTGAATGTGAAATTAATATTTAATAATTTTGTTATTTATTCTTTATTTGTTGGGCTATTTGTCAGTTATTGTATTTCAATTTTTACTATAAAATAAATATTTTAAATACAGATATAATAATTATTTGAAATTTGTTATGATTAATATTCATAAGATTAAGAACTTATCAGTATTATTTATTGCCTTAAAATAATATTATAACTAGAGGATTCTGATGTGCGGCGACTGTGTTGCCGCCAGTTAATACACAAATAAATGATGGATATTAAATTAACTTATTGTAATAATTATTTTTTTTTAATCAGTTGTCCATTCTTAGCTTAAATAATTGTAATTAATTATAAATATAAAATTTGTAATATTGCATCTAATTTAAAGATTTATATAGAATTCTAAATTTAATTATATAATAAATTAAGATAGTTAATAAGTTAAGAAATGAAAAAAACCACAAATAAAAAAAAATATTGTTTCCTTTAGTAAATTATTTCTTTTTCTTCCTCTTTTCTTTTTCTGTTCTTTTTATTCATCTACAGTATTATCTGTTAAGGTTTCTTCCTCCTGTTTGTTACTAATTACATTTTGAGAATCATCATCTTCATCAGGTAATGATGGAGCTTTGGAATCTTTTGTGAATGAGATAAAACTGATGTTTGGCATTTTCCTCTTTTTTTTTTGTTTCATTGATGATGAATTAACTATTTCAGCTGATGATTGTTGAGTAAAAGAATCCTCAGTCTGCTTTTTTTCCCAAGCATAACCTGAGGATTTGTGTGATTATGTACTATGCGTTGATTCAATAAAATTAATTTGGGTTATTCTTATAAGGAGGAGATCTTCAATTATAGATAAATATCCTGTTATGTACAAAGAAGAGCCACGTAAAATTTTACTGGAAATTGGTAACAGATGTACATCTTTTGGGAAGTGGTATAGTTCAAATTACAGGGAGTTATTATCCCAGTTGTCAAGGTATTCTTTAGAATTCAAGCCTAAAATAATTTTATCATCACCAATATCAGGATTATCAGATACAACACCTTCTAGTATAACAGATAATGGGCATAAGGAAGATCTTCTTCATCTAGATTAAGCACACATATACTAGATGCAATACCTTTTTGTTTTAAAAAAAAGCGAGTTTTTTTTAGTATAAAGAAATTTTGATTAAATAAAACTGATGAATAAAAATTATTAGTTTTATACATTAATAACTTTGGTTTTATTATCATTCACTTCTGTTTCAACAACAGAAAATTTCCTTGTATTTGGATAATATCTTCCTGGTTAAATCTCTCTAAGTCATTATCTCGTATTATGTCTTTTGGGTAGAATGCAATAACGTGAACATATATATTAATATTTTGATGTTGTGAATTAACAATGCTCATAGCAAAACTTGACTTTCTAACTGTCTCATTATGTTGATCAATATAGCAGATTGTATTTAAATTGCAATACATTTTTTTTTATTAAAATTTATTTTGCTTTGATTTTTAATAGAAATAATCTTAGATATAAATGAATAAATTTATAGAGAAATGTCAATACATCTATATATACTTTTTATTTTAAAAAAATTGCTTTATACTAATATATAAAACGCGTGTCAATTTTTTTGTATAAAAGTACTTCAATAAATAACGAACAATACAAAAAGAAAAATTGGCATAATACAGGTGTGCCACCCGAACTGAGCATTTCATCTGAAGATGCATTAGTAATCAGTTATTATTTATGCAACAATGAAGAACAATACGAAAAGAAAAATTGGCATAATACAGGTGTGTCACCTGAACAAACCATCTCATCTGAGTTAAACTAAAAGAATATCAAAAAATTATCTTGTTTATCTACTCAAGTGATATGACCTTAGCTATTATATTTTATTTAAATCTATATTATTAAAAAATTATTTAATAAAAAAAATTAACAATATGTCTATAATTTTATTATTGTTATTTTTTTTTAAAAAAATCTCATTTGTTTATTTATTATCAAAAAAAAATATATCTTGTTAATTAATGAAGAAGTTTCTTGATAAAATAAACCAAAAAAAAATATTATTAAAAAAAAATTCTTTGTAAAAAAAGATGCCTAAGCAAAAAAAAATCAGAAAATTGTTCTCGGTAAAAAAAGTCTAATCAAAAAAATCTAACAAAAAGAAAAATTATTAAACCCGAAAAAGAAATTTAGTTATTAAAAAAAAAATCTTGATAAAAAAAAAATGTCAGCAAAAAAGTAAAAAAAAAATCAAATTACTAATAAAAAATTGTTTATTTTCGCTAACCAAAAAAAAATTAATCTAACAGAAAAAACTATTAATTTAAAAATAGATCTAAATAAAAAAAAATATTAAACCCTAAAAAGAAATTTAGTTATTAAAAAAAATCTTGATAAAAAAAAAATAGCAGCAAANAAAAAAAGATGCCTAAGCAAAAAAAAATCAGAAAATGTTTGTTCGCATTAAAAAAAAATTATTAAAAATAAATCTAAGTAAAAAAATATTAAACCCAAAAAAGAAATTGTTATTAAAAAATCTCAGTAAAAAAAAATTGTCAGCAAAAAAGCAAAAAAAAAATGTAAATAAAAAAATTGTTTATTCTCGGTAAAAAAGAATTTAGCCAAAAAAATCTAATCAAAAAATACATTAATAATCAACATGAATTTATTATGGCGTGCCAATGTGGACAGATTGGTATTTTTTTAATACCAACTCCCGCTATTTAAATAATACCAGCTCATGTATTTTAATATTACTGCAAGTGGCAGATTTGGCAATTTCTTTTTGCATTATTAGACAGATTCATATTTATTTATTAGTAACTTTCTCTAATTAAATATTACCAACTCTTGTAATTTTAAAATTGGCAGATCTTTTTTCTTCAATAGACAGATTTATATTTTTTATTATCCCCTTTTTTCATTAGCAGATCTTTTTTCTTTACCAGACAGATTTATATTTTTTTATTATTAGCTCTGATGATCATTTTTATTCATTAGCAGATCTGCTAAATCTCACTGCAGGTGATTTCACAGGTCAAATTATAATTCCAGCCAAATTCATTTGTGTAACCTAATAAAAAAAGTTTCTGATTTTTTTTAGTTACAATGTGGTATAAATATTGCACTAATGGATCCGAAAGATACCCGTTTATAAGTAAATATGCAGTTAAATTTGTGTAATCTCACTGCATAAATCACTTTACTTAAGAAATCTATTTCGTAATGGTCAAAAGTGGTCTATTTGACCTTAAAAGTGGCAAACGTGAATTACGTAACCATCAGCTACCTTAATTGATGGTCAAAAGTGGTCTATTTGACTCTAGAAAGTGGTCATATAGCACATAGGAATTTTTCGAAAATTTTCTGTTTGGTTATACTAATATAAATTGGTAGTTAAAGGCGAGTGCATATTTGACCACTTTTAACCATTAATTAGTAAGGTAGTTTATGGTTACTTTTAAGGCCAAATAGACTACTTTTGACCATCAATTAAGGCAACTGATGGTCATTTGATCACTTTTAACCATCAATAAGGTAACTAATGGTCAAGTTTGACCACTTTTAAGGTCAAATAGACCACTTTTGACCATTACGAAATAGATTTCTTAAGTAAAGTGATTTATGCAGTGAGGCTACACAAAATTCAACTGCATATTTGATTATAAACGGGCATCTTCCGAACTCATCGGTGCAATTTTTATACCACATTGTTACTAAAAAAGTCAAAAACTTTTTATTAGGTTACACAATTAACTCCAGCTGGAATTATAATTTGGCCGGAATAAAATCACCTGCGGTAAGGACCACCTGCAGTGAGATTTAGCGAATAAAAATGATCGTCAGAGCTAATAATAAAAAAATACAGATCTGTCTATTAAAGAAAAAAGATCTTCTAATGAAAAAAGGAGGCAATAAAAATATGAATCTGTCTATTAAAGAAAAAAGATCTGCTAATTTTAATTTTAAAATTACAAGAGTTGGTAATATTTAATTAGAGGAATTTGGTATTAAATAAATACAAATCTGTCTAATAATATAAAAAGGAATTGCCATTTTAGGGGTTCGTCTAAAGCCATGTTCGATCACGTGATTTGTAAAAATTTATTTTTTACAAATAAAACTTTTTNAATGAAACTTATATTTTTATTGAGTTCTGTGGATGAGAACTATGGAATTACTTTGAATTCCGCTCTCTATTTATACAAATTTTATGCTACTTTCTATTCTATCTATATACTATCTTTTATGTTCTTTTTACATATTATCTTTGAACTATCTTTCTAATATGCTAACTATATTTTAAATACGCTATCTTTTAATACACCATCTTTCAATATATTTCTATTTTTAATATGTTATATTCCATCTCTTATATTCCATCTTTTATGTTCCATCTTTTTAATACGTGTTATATTATCTTCTATATTATCTTTTATATTATCTTTTATATTATTTTTATATTATTAAAATGGAAGTAAAATTTAAGATATATTGTAAATTTTGTGATGTATTTTGTGCGTATCATAAGTATGAAAATAAAGATGAATCTTTAGAAATTTGTGAAATTAAAGAAATATTAAATAGAGATTTTTCAAGAAAGAAAGACAAATGTTCACAAGAAATAATAAATCATGAGAATGAATGTATGTACTTTCGTTATGCGTGTTCCTTTAGTCCGTTATCCCTCCATTTTATATGATTTACCTTTTGTGGCTTATAATTATTCTTTCTAATTGTTCTTATTGTTAAAGATTACTAAGCCGCAATTGATCAACTCTAATTATTCTATTGGTTCTTTGTTAATCATCCGATAAATATTACATCATGTAGATCATTGCTCTTCTTAAATGTTTATCCTTTTTGGCTAATTATTTATCTATCTACGCCAATTCATAATTAATTTGTTCGTTCATAATATTTGGCAATTACATTTGGTGATTGAATTTTATCATCTTCTCGTGCTTGATATTCGACTGTTTACAATGCATAAATATTAAAAGGTTTAATTATTTTTTCACTGGTGTAGTCTAAAGAGGAAATTAAAAAGAATACAATTCAAGGGTTTTATAAAAAAAATATCAAGAAATATTTATTTTATTAAAATAATAAAGATTTACATTGTAATTATAAGTATAATTGATGTTATACATAAAATAGAATAGTTTTCTTCAAACTAAAAATATGTAAGATTATTCACTCTAATTTATTTTCATTTTAACGTAAATCACAAAAACTTTTGCAATTTAAGGAATATTAGTTTCTTTAAAGATGCCATTCTTATTAATCCTCTAATTATATTTTCAATTAGTTAATGAACTTCTATTCTTGATGTATCTTATAGATCGATAATTGAGTTCTTTTATTTTCAAAAAAGGATTAATTTATCAGGATAGCGAAGTCATATATATATCATCTAATAATTGATCCTTTATATATTTTTTGCTAAAAAGTTTGTATCATTCCACTTTAATATTAAGAGTAAATTACTACTTTATTCCTTATTTTTTTTTCTTAAAAAAATCTTATTTTTTATTTTTTAATTTTAGTATAAATATTACTAAGATTTTCAGACTCAGTGTTTTCTTTATAAAGAATAGCTGTCACTAATACATAAATAATTTGAATTAAAAATAGAAATCATATCTATAAATTATCTGGTAAATATTAAAAATCCAATAATAAGAGCAGTAAAGAGTTAAAAAAAAAAAAAAAAATAAAGTAAAAAAAAATGTATTCCATTTTTTATTTTTTTGTAATTAATTTTATTTTATATAATTTAGATATAATAATTAATAATATATATATAACATATATATAAATTTATATATATTAAATTATTAATAATTTCAAAAAATTCATTAATTTATTTATTTATATTAGTTAAAAAAGAATTTTTAAGATCACCCCTATTTCTAAAATAGTTAATTCAATATTTTCCAATACATAATTGCAGAAAAAACACAGAGATAATTAATATATAACAAATAGTATAAAAAAATTATGTTCAGAAAGTATTTCATCTTCTTTCTATTTTTTCAATCAAGATAGTAACATTCTATTTCTGTAAAAAGTAGTTATATTTTGATTATTAGTTTAGTAAATTACTTCTAGTCTTAGTATGTAGGGTTCAGTGATTTTTACTGTAACTCAATTCATTTTGTGAATTAAAATAAAAAAAAACAGTATAAAAAAATTATGTACTTATATATTACAGAAGATTACAGCTTCTTGATAATGGTAGTATTCTGCATAAACCAAATTTTTCTTTGAAATTTAATTTAATTTAATTTGATTTGAATTTAATTTGATCTTCAAAAATAATTATTTTAGAATTTAGTAATCCGATTTTAATGATCTTTTTTTTAATCAATAGGTCTTGAGTTTTAATCATCATTAAAATCAAATTGCTAGATCAAAAGTTATTTACAAAATATGTTTTTACCCTTCAGAAGCAATCAAAATCACCATATCATAAATTGATTTATGCAAAATACTAGATAGTAATAGTGATAGCTATTGTAATCCTGCACTTATAATAAAAATAGTTTACTATGATTTTTATTAGTATTGCTTTAAATTTTTTTTACATACTCAATGAAAAATACTTTCATTTAATTAGTTTTATTATTATTAAATTTTTTAATATATTTAAATTTACAAATTATTGTAAAGTAATAGTTACTAATAAAAAAATAAATTAAAATATGAAATAAAAAGTATTTTTGCCATTTTTTTTTTAATAAATAATAATAAATGATAATATTAAAAAAGTTACATTTTACAAATAAATACTTTATATTTTTTTTATTTTATAAAAATATATATATATAATACATATATTATAAAAAAAATATATTAATAAATACTTAAAACAGATTTTTACATATCAGTCAGTGGAAATGTCATTTCTCTTGCCGATCATTAATTAAAATAATTTTGTGTAACCATAATTGAATATATCACCACGTAGCTAAAAAAAGAAATTTTTAATACAATACTTATACAAATTAAGTAAATTAATAGTTCATCATGTGTACTATAAATATTCGTCATCATTTCCTCTTTAATAATATTTTTTTTTTTCTTTACATATTACAAGAAAGTTCGTCTCAAAAATAAAGTTTTCCTCAAAATGCAACTTAAAGGTGGGTATAAAATACAATTTAAATAACGCAAATATATGTAATTTTACGAGAAGAAAAAGATTTATTAAGTTAAAAAGGGCAGTTATTTAGGGAGATTTTGTGTAGATCGCAAAAAACCAATTTTTATAATAAAAAAAATTTTTCTTGATTTCAATAAAACTCTTAACAAAAGCTTTCTTAACCAGCAATTATTTTATTTTAAGTATAATTTGGTGAAATGAACAACTTTTGTTAAGCTTAGAATGGTGATTATTAAGCTAGATTTTTTGTTATTTATAAATTTTGTTGAATTTTTTAATTATAGTGCTAATAAAAAAAAATTTTTTTTTTATTTAATAATATTATTAGATCTATTTTGGCGGTATAAATGAGGTTTAATCACAAAAATAGTTAAATATTATGTTTTTATTTGTTTATTTATCACCGTTTTCGAATTACTGTGATCAGGTGATGTCGATCATTTATAATTAAAAAATACTGAAAATACCGAAAATAACCGAAAATAACCTAAAAATAAGCCAAAACACATGCAAATATTCCTTGTAAAATTTTCTAAATAATTATTGGTCAATTTTCTATAAAACTGGTCATTTACTTAATATAGTAATTAGTAAATAGATTATATAATACTTACGCGAAAAGAAGTTGAAGTAATTTTTCGCATTTAGAGTTATTTAAATGGCGGAAAATTTAACTTGCAATTACCTTCCCAGTATTTGTTATATATGTCAAAAGTGTTTGCGTTGTTTCAAACTTTCACAAGAAAATCTGTGCAAGTGTCAGAAAGATAAAATATCAAGAGTTAAAAAACCACTGCATGGACAACAAATATATCAACGTGCTTATACTACAAACCAAATTTTTCCAAAACTCAATAATTTTTTACTAGATATAAATACTAAATTTGGTTACAATAATAATTTTGAAAAAAACTTTTCCTATACTACTTGCAGTGCTTGTAATAGTAAACTTAAACGATTAAAAACTAGTGATAAAAAATCTCAACTAAAAAGTAACAAAAAAAGCAATAGGAAAGCTCAGATAAACAATGAAGAAATCATTTCAATAGATGATTTGCCAACAGAAAATAGTAAAAGAAAAGTGGGAAGTTATAATAATAAGAAAGAAAAAGAAAAAGACAATGATAATGAAATAGAAGATGAAGGAAACGATGATAAAGATTTTAATAATAAAGATGATGATTATTATGACAAAGATAGTGATGTTAATGATGAAAACTATGAAGAAGACAATGATAATGGAGATTATGATGAAGAAAGTGATAATGACAATAAAAAATATGAAGAAGTTGATATTATTGAGGAAATAAAAATACAATTAGTTGTAAAAAATAATAATATAAAAATCCCTACAGCAAAAACTCTAACTATTCGGCCTGCTAGTTATAAAAATTTTACAGAAAAAATAAATTTAGCAACTAAAAAAATTCTAGAAAAAGAAACAAAATCAAAATACAGTTATACTATTTCGTATAAAGCTGTAAATGCACGTGGACCATCAAATACACTTGAAGATAAATTGGATTTTCAGGAATTTATTAGTGAATATCAAAAGGTAACATTAACTGGAAAAAAAATGTCAGTGATAGTGGTAGTAATTGTGAAGAATAACGTGACAGAAAAAAAAAATAGGAAACATAAAAAGGTAAAGTATTTTATGTATAATGCGAGATAATAGGCAAAAATATTTAACATTTATAATTTTTTAGCATTCTGATGATAATATTAGATCATCATCTGAAGAAATTGAAATACAAACCAAAAAGAAAAAGAAATCTCGTTCACTAAGAGAAGATGATTTATAAAAAGAGAAGAAAAGAAGATCAGAAGTCATTGCTGATTTGGTTGAAATGTATAAATGTGATTTACATTCTACTCCATGTTTTATTCAAGATGGTCGGCATTTGCAGCTTAATCCTTCTAGATTACAACTTTGGGCTCGTGAAATTGTATGTAAAGTATGCTTTTTTATAAATTCAAATGAAAAATGATACCTACTAATTATTAATTTTGTTTAGATAAACAAAAGAACAACCTATGATATTCCTCCATCTTATCCAGTATTTGATATGAAATCAAGTGTATTTATCAATAAAAATAATTCTGCAACGCAAATGCAAAATAGTCAAACATCCAATACGCCTACTCCTATTTTTATTCAATTACCAAGTCAAGTTTATAAAAATCCGACAAATACTCATTTGGAATTACCTTCATCAAGCAAATTACCATCAATTGGTAAGTTTCTTAATAACTTAGACCTGAAATATAATTGTAATAATATATATGCTAAATTTGAAGATGCATTTCTTGAAGAAGAAATTACAGTTAATGCTATAAAAGATTTAACAGATGAGCAATTGCAAAAGTTAGGCGTGGTGAAAATTGGATGGCAAAAAAATATTAAACAAGCAGCGCAACAATATTGACCTAATGTATTTTGATTATCATATAATATAATAAAGATAATATTTCAAATATAAATTCTTGTTCCAGTTTTTTATTTTATTATTCTAAATTGTTTATATTTCTATTTTTTTTTATTCTAAATTGATTATCAAATATAAATTGATGCTTCAAAAAATGCTTGTGCCATTTGAGAAGTTATTTGACTACATGCAACTAATAATGCATGTATAGGATCATTATAAGCTTCCATAAAATCACGATTACGCCTGATCCATGATTTGATAGTTGAAAATGCAGTTTCGATAGGATTGAAATCAGGTGAATATGGTGGAAGAAAAACAACATGGCATCCTAATCCTCTTAATAGTGCTATTAATTCATCGTCATGGTGTATTTTTGCATTATCCATAATAATTACACTATTATTATCTGGATATGGGTTCATTATTGGTACCTAAAGATAAATTTATCAATTAGAATATAAAATAAATAAATAAATAAATAAACTTGTATAATTATTATTTACCACTTGATCAAGAACAAAATCAACAAATCTTTTTCTATCACATGCTCCTTCAAATATATCAACAGCAACAAATCCTTCTAATGTAAGAGCAGGTAAAATTGTATATCTTTTTCCTCGTACAAACACAACTTTTTTATGTGCGAGTATATTGCGAGGAGAATATCCATATAATCTTGATAAACTCCTCTCATCTTTAGCACTTTCATCAAGGAAAATAAACTGGTTTGGGGTGTAATGTTCACCAATAACACCTAAATAATGTGCAAGTATAATATCATTTCTTTCCAGTGCTGCCTTATGTAACTGTATTGAATAAAAAATAAATATTTATTTCAAAAATTCATAATATAAATAAATTACTTACTTTTTTTCGAGTAATTCCCATGTATTGAAGTGAAAGCCAAAGAGCTGCAATAGATGCTCTTTTTCCAGTTAGACACTCCATTTCATATACTAATTCGTCCAAATACCAGTCTGCTTTTTCTGCTACAAGATTTCTAAGTACAGCCATATCTGCTCTACTAAATAGTTTTCTACGACCAGGAATACCTTTGAAAGGATTTTTAACACATGCCCAACGGTTATATCTCCTTATTATCTTATTTACAAAAACCTTAATCAAGTATAATGTATTAGCAATATCTGCAGTAGAAAATCTATCAATGTGAAGATAAATAATACGCCAGCATAAATCTTCGCAAAATTCTTGAGGCATGTTTGAGGTCTTTTAGCAAAAAAAAAATATATTTATTATGGTTTTTGTCTGTAAATATTTTGAAATCGGATAGAAGGGTTGGAGCCGGTTAGAAATCAGTTAAAATCGGTCTCTAAGTTACTTGTAAAAACACGAAGCGAATAGCAAAAAAATACAACGAATGTGATACAATAATGACTTAACACTACGTAAATCAAATTTACACAATTTTATATGTATAACGTGATCAATTTTTTTTTGAAATTCTGGAAATCAATTTTTTTTATTAAATTAAAAAATTACCGATCACAGTAATTTGAAAACGGCGATAAATTAGACATTTAATGCTTAATTCTTAATATTATAGTAATCATGTAAATTATTATAACATTAAAAAAAACTTTAAAATTTTTAATTTTAGTTAGTTTAACAAGAAAATAAAACAAAAATTATTTATTCATAGAAAAATTCTTATTGACTATTAAGTCTATTTACTTTGTTAAGTCATAAATACAAATAGTATAATATGAATAAGTAAAATATTTTTTTATATATATAAAAAGTATCTAAAGTAGTGTCAAAATAAAAGATATTTATTGAATATTTTAAAAAAAATAAGCAAAAGAATAAAGTTAAATAAATTTTCTTAATTTTTATTAGTTTGTTGTATTAAAATAACCATATAATTGACTACTTTCTTTGGCCAGATGCAACTGAATAAAGTGAAGTTTTTGATTTTTAAAAGGTTTAAAAATATTTTTCAAACCTTGAATGAACATGTTTACTATTGTTGGAAAAAATGTTACATTGCATAAATATGGTGTTACCTTTGACCTGAAAATTTAGATTTTAATGTAATTTGGGCTGGCATTACGAATTCGACCGGAATTAAGAAAATTTCGGCCAGAATTAAGATCTGAAAATTGTCGATTTTAGCCATTTGTACCAACTTTGTCCAACCTTAAGTTTACATATATACTATATGCCATATAGCCATACTGTCCCAATAATTTATATTGAGATATCATAGTACAAAAAATCTCCTTCTAATTTTTGGGGACATTTCCACTGACTGATATATAAACTTTTTCTTGCAATTAAATAAAAACTAAAAAGAAAATGCAAAAAAAGTTAAGTACTGTAATGCCAGAACTACCTAGTGAAATTATTAATTAAATGGTATAGTATTACCATATATCGCGGGCCATAGTACCCCCTATGCATAGTACCCCTTTTGAAAAATTTCATAGAATTGTATAATACCCAAGGGGATATTTTACAATTATCTCGTGATCCAGTGATCAGATTTGAGCCATCTTTTTTTTTGTTTGATAACTCTCATTGAGCTCTTCAAAATAAAAAAAAAGATCGTTCAAATTGGACTGGTAGATCGTGAGATATTCACAAATAATGGAATTTTTAGGCTTTGTTTAGTACCCGGAGGTACAGGGTTAAACTCCCAATTTTTGCAAGATACCCAGGGTATTGTGGCAGGACCTGGAAAACTTCTAATAGGGATTACTACCAAACATAATTCGAGGCTATAATTAATTTTCAAAAAGGTCACCGCCAAATTAATTAGTAAAAGTCATGTGTTGGTTTGCAACAATAAGAATTTTTTTGTGAAATCTTTCCTTTCTTGGCCCTATTACTATATTTGGAATAGAAGCATGTGAGTAAACAGCAAAATAACCAATCATATTATGGTTTGCACTCCTATTTTTTTTTGATTTTTTGGCGGTAACCTTTATATATAGTTTTCCAGGTCCTACTGTGGCCCGCTATATATGGTATATAATTTATATTTAATTTTGATATATAAATTTTTGGGATATTTTAAAGTGATTTATATTCATGATGATATAAAACTATAAAGAATAAGAGATGAATACATCTGTAATGATATAAAACTATCTTTATATATTTTATTTATTTATTTATTAGAATAATTTTCATATGTTAATGTTTATACCTATTTTTGATATTTTTATTTTTATTATAAAAGATTTATTATAAATAAGCAAAGTTTTTACTTTAGTGAGGAACAAGTATATTTGATTCAATATATTTTATTTTCAATTCTTTTTGCCTTTTTTTTTATGAAAAAGTGCTTTCTTAATTATTTTAATTAAGGATTTCTTTTATTTTCTTTATTTTTATTATATTTTATAGAAAAAATAATAGAAAAATAATGGAAAGAAGGAATTTCTTATATTTATAAAGAGAGTGATATAAAGAATGAATGTTCTATTTAAGAAAAATATTGTTAATAAGTGGAATGAATTAGTATTAACCAAATATTATTTAGCATTGTTATATATATTTTATACATGCTGCCCAAATTATTTTGGGATGCCATAATTATAATTTGGGATGCCATAATTCATTCGGTTTATATATAATTTACTATGTAAAGTGCCAAAATAATTTGGGATGCCCGATGCCATAATTGAATTTGGGATTTTACTTATAATTACGGCAGTCCAAAATAATTTGAGTGGCATGTATAATATATTTCTTATGTTACTAATTCAGGTCAGATGTTAAATTTACATTATTTTATAAAGGATATTATTTGTAGCTCAAAGTGGTAATATGACCTATTACAAACTTGAGCCTTTACAATATACAAATTTGAAAAATTCTGGCATGACTTAATTTTAAGATAAAAGTAACTAATTATTTTTTATTATAATTCAATTTTATTATTTATAAAATAAAATATTACTACTAATAGCTAATATATAATAAATTTGTGAAATACATGATAATAAAAATTTATAATTATTTATCCTTCTCTACAAGAATATCTGTAGTAGGATTTACATATTCAGGTTTAAGAATATCTTCTATTTCTTTTCTAGCATCTCCTGTAATTTTGTCAATCGTCTCATTTATAAAATCTCTATTCTTATTCATTGCAGTTTTATTGAAAGTAAATACAAAACTAAAATAATCCATAATGAACTTCTCCTGTTTAGTTGAAGTTTTTTCAATAAAAATACTCCATGATTCATTATCAATAATTAAGTGTAGTGCACGCAATTTGGCTCCATTAGAGTCAAAATAAAAGGTATTAGAATAGAAGGTAAGATTTTGTTTTGTTTCTTGCCAATTAAGATTAAGTGAGTTTAACTGATTTACAAGAAGTGAGAGAATTGTATCCAATTCGCTTATGGTACTGGATGGAAATTGAAGGCTTTTAAATAATTTTTCCAGAATGCTTATATGAATATCAACGATAGTAGAAGTATCTTCAAAATGATTATTTGCATGAGATTCTTCAGGTAAAATCATTGCCAAAAGTTTTCTTTTTGTAATTAGATCAAAAAAAGTTTGGCACTTCAGTTTCATGTAGTCTACAACTTCTTTAGGTTTGCTAATATTTGGCCATTCAGAATCAGACCTTCCATTGTAAATTTGAACAGAGCTAAGCAAATTAATAAATAAGTTTAATAGCTCCAAATCCTCTTTATCCTTTTTTTCTGATTCAGATAAATTAGAAGAAATAGCAAAAATGTTAACTACTGCAGGAAGCTTTTTTTCCTTTTCTTTTAAAAACTCAATAAGATCTGCTGTTGAAGGAAGTTTATGGCAAATCTCAAGAATATCTAGCTTGAGAACTTCTGATTCACTACAACTCATATTTTTCGTAGATAGACTATTAGATCAATACCTAATATGAGAATAAATAAAAACAAACATATTTATAGTTGAAATTAATCAGATTATCTGAATAATGTTATGATATCTGTATCTTGCATATGTGATTCAAAATGATTTATATAGACTTGTATAATATAAATAATATAGCATATGTGCCGATTTTTGGAATTAGTCTAAATTAAGATTTTATAAAAATTTAATATTTTAGTAAGATTAACATTACACAAATCTAAATTAAATATGTGTTACATATTTACGTAACTCAGATTTATTAAAAAATAAAAAAAATTTTTTTAATCAATATTCAAAAATAACGGTAATAACCACTTCTTTTTCCCCATCACT